CACTGACTTATTCCACCATCTGCTTGACCAACTATCCTTCCTCTAACAAAATCTGACAACTCGAGTTCTAGGCATGTTGTAGCACAAGATAATTAGTATGCGGACCATTTTCATTTATATAGTGCTCTGTGAACACAAATTAGTTATCATAAATCAGTTAAATGACGAAAAATTAGGTGTTTATTTACTTGTGACCACTCAGTGTATATATATGTGTAAATTTGGTACTTCAATATCAGCTTTATGGATCGAACATTAAAGCGCCCTAGTTAGTGCTTAATATTTTTATTTTTTCAATAGCATGAAGAAAAGAACTTCGGCGAGGTGTGTGTCTCACGCGAAATTCAAGGCTTACATTTGTTATCTTCTTTTTGAGCATGGTGTGGCTTAATGGCCAGTGATTATGAATGTAAGGGTTTACAATTCCTATCCTTTTGGTGCAAAAACGTGCCCCACAATTTATGGCCTTGGAAGCGCTATAACAATAACCCACTATTCCATCAGAGTGATCCAAGCGTTAACAGCGGGTGTTGTTGACTAGCTGCCTTCTTTCTAGTCTATCAATTTGTGTAGTATTGCACGTAAATTTAAAAAAATAAACAATTTATTCGATTTTCTAGTAGAAGTTTTGTTCCCATAAACACCAATTTCGGTCACAAAAAGCAGACGTTACACTTACACTGATCTTTCTGGCATTACACATTACTACTTTGCGGTAAATCGATCGTTTGGCGGTTCTTTTTGGATTATCTGGTAAAAATGATGCCAAGTTCAGTCCACAAAACGATAACAAATAACTTAATTTCCCCAATAAACGTTTGCTAACTGCAATTTAATAACCTGATGCTAATGGTATCTGATTTGTCAAGGCAGAATTCTCAAATAGAAATTATTTCTATGAAATGTATCATTAAATATTGCATGACTGAATCTTATCCACTCCACGTTTTTCCCAAAAAATTATCTAAGTTGTTTTATTACCTTAGATCTATTTAAAATGAATCGTTACAACTTCACTCACTCCAAAATTAATAGTAGCCGTTTGCTTGGTTTAACTGATAGAGAGCGTTAAGATCGCTTACTCTGCCAGCACATCAACATGACAGATCAGACGTTTGAAAACATAAACACTGCTTTGGATGCTGTTGAAAATCCAATGATGAATTATAACTTTAAATCCCCATTACTTTCATCGGTAGATATATCTATTCCGGTATTTGAAAAACGTGTGGGAGAAACATCTGCATCGGCAATGATACCGACAGACGGGTTTGTTGCATACCAAATTATAACCGTAACTAAAAGCAAGCCTAAAAATTCGGGTTTTGAATTGAATGCTTACGACGATGATGAAGGTCAGTCTTGTACACTAGAAAAACAGTGGGTAGTATGGAGACGTTACAGGAATTTTGAACTGCTGAGAGGTCATCTCGAGGCTACTTACCCATATATTATTATCCCTCCTTTACCTGAAAAGAGTTTTTCATATGGGTGGCAGAAAGTGTCGAGTGAAAAGCTCAGTTCAGATTTTCTTGAACGAAGAAGAGTTAGTTTGATTCGGTTCCTTCATCACGTGGCCGAACACCCTGTGCTTTCAAATGATAAGACTTTCCTAGCTTTTCTTCAGAATGAAAACTGGATGAATACAACCAAAAATATGGATGCTTTTGGAAAAGCCAGCCAGACCTTGCGCTCGCTCCACGCTAGTTATCGGCTTAAAATGCCAGACAGGTTTTTTGAAGAAACTAAATGTTTTGCCGATGGAAACCACTCAGTTATTTCTAGTTTATTGCACGTGAGGACCAAAATTGCCGGAAGAGAGTTTGGGATACATAAACTGCATGCAAACTATGGACGCGTGTTTCGAGAAATGAGCAGCTTTCAGAATACAGCAAGTGAAGAATTTCAGACTGTTGCTAGATACATGGACATTTATGCTGCAGGGATAGACACAATGCTAGAAGAGGAGGAAAATATCATAGACAAAATGAAAGAATACATGACTTACATGGAGGCTGTCAGAAATGTTTGCTGTCAACAAGAGTTAATACAGTTCCAGTATGAACAACTTGAAAGCTCTATTCATTCTAAAGAATCTCAACGGAAGCAAATAAGCACTGGAGATCACACTTCTAGTATTTTCCTACTAATTGGAAGATCAACGATGAACCAGGACAACAAACTTCAAGCTTTAGACAGGGATATCCAACAGCTAGAAACCCAGATGCAGTTACTAATTGGGGAAAATAAATCTTTCAAACAGAAAGCTCAAGAAGACATAAAAAGATTTCATCAACAAAAAGAACATTTCTTACAAGAGGCAATGTTTGGATTGGCTGTTCATCGAATCCAAACATATCGTAAGAATTTGGCTCTCTGGCTTAAACTTCAAGAATGCTTCTCAAAAATCCAGTGAATGTCATGATTGACAGATCATTTATAAAACAATGTAAAGAGTTCAGAAATATCTTTTGAGTAGGTTGTTAAGTCGTATTTTCTCAACCGTAAACTGGTCAAAATGGAAAATTGCTTTATTTAGGTTATCATACATGTATTTTTTTTATGCTTTTACGTTTTAAGTAAATTGTCAAATTAAAACTGAAGGGTAAATCATATATCTGATTCTTGTCTTTTATTGTATCTTTATTTTGGCATTATAATACTATCCTTTTTTTTTGTTGTTCAGTAGTAAGAATAAAGATATTTCTGCATTGAGGTATCTTACAAAGTTTTATTTACATTTCCTTATCTGCATGTGCTTAACTGTTGAAATATTTTGTGTGTGTTGCTAACTAGAAACATTTTAAAGTTAATGGGATAATGTAAAATTGGAAAAATGCTGTTTTGGGGTTTAGTCACTTAATTCACTCATTCTTCATAAAGTTCTAGCATAATTTTATAAAGTTGCAGATTCAGAGGTTAATTAATACACTTACAAATCCCAAGAAAGTGCTTGAAGTCGTTCATATTCGTACAAAAGATTTTGTGCCAATCACTAGTTTTCTGAAGTATCCCAGTGTTTTTGCTGTAGTTGAACGTGATTGTCAGTGCTATGTTTAAAATTATTTTGATGTAAAACATGACTGGTGTATTTAATACATTACATATATCTTGTTAAAAAAGATTTGGTGTAAGTTGTGGCAACCCAAAAATTAGTGGATTTATGAAAAAATATTAAAATAATTATTTTTCAGCAGAGAATATTTAACTAATTAAGAATGCAACAAAAGTTTTTTTTTAACATTTTGCGAATGTAAGTTCTGTGAAAATATGCACGAAAGTGTTAAACAGTCTGAAGTTATTTGTACGCATATTTAAATATATTTTTATATACACTTTTAAATCATGCATTGATAAGAAGGGAAAAGATTTAGTAGTTTAAATAAACCAAATTCAATTAATGTACTTAAGGAAAGTTTTATTTTTTCCAGATTTGCCTTAAGCAGAAACATTTCTCAATGAGTGGTTACTAAAACATTTGTTCCAGAGAAACATTATATGAATGATGCCGTAGAATAGGTGTTTGTGTGTACGTTGGTAGAAATGTTTCAATATGGCAAATCTGTGTATATTTTCACTTGAGTAGATCGTTTTGAAAGTGTACGTACATTTTCAGTTTGGAAAATCTAATTAGACTGATATTAAACAAAATTTTTTGGCCCAAAAATTGCCCATTTCTACCTTATTTCCCACAAGTTTCATCAGAATTGTTTTATTTTACCCATTTTTCTCCTCCAGGAAAGTTTTTCAGCCATGTTGATTGCCAGTTTGTATGATACACTCGTACGTAGCGCTATTAATTGTAAATACTGCACTGATTATCCCTTGATGCTAACAGATTGGTTTTTGATAAACTAGCAAAAATGGTGTCTTAGTTACACGCACCAGATTTCTATAGTTCTGGTGATGTTAAATATCTTGATACCCAGAAAGAAAAGGAAATATTTCCATGTGACAGCATTCTGAGAAGGAAATATTTCCATGTGACAGCATTCTGAGAAGGAAACATTTCCATGTGACAGCATTCTGAGAAGGAAATATTTCCATGTGACAGCATTCTCTCTTTTTAAAACTAAGAAAGAAAAGAAGAACTGAATCACGAACATTTTCATTTCCAACTACAGAAAAAAACAAATTAAGAATGATACAATGTTTCAAGCAAGGCTAGTTTCTTAATGGAACTCTTAACCCTAAAAAAGTTTAAGGTAATTAGACTACATATTAGTCTTAACTATAACATCCTCTATGCTACGTCAGAGTCAAAGGTTATTGTGGCTTACAGAAGAACCTCTACGCTATGTCAGTTTCAAAGGTTATTGTGGCTTACAGAAGAACCTCTATGCTATGTCAGTTTCAAAGGTTATTGTGGCTTACAGAAGAACCTCTACGCTACGTCAGTTTCAAAGGTTATTGTGGCTCACAGAAGAACCTCTACGCTATGTCAGTTTCAAAGGTTATTGTGGCTTACAGAAGAACCTCTATGCTATGTCAGTTTCAAAGGTTATTGTGGCTTACAGAAGAACCTCTACGCTACGTCAGTTTCAAAGGTTATTGTGGCTTACAGAAGAACTGATAATCATGAGATTTGTGTTTTATCATGGGCACTCTTAATCTGTCTGTTTTTATTATTGTTTACTATATGTTGTTTGTGATTCTCTTGTAATGGATGCTTACTGTCATTTAGCTGTAAATGTACAATTATCAAGTTGATAGTTTTGTAAGCTTATCTACAGAGGAACATACACGCGAGGTCCGTGCCCCAATTCTATTTGACAGCGCCCCAAATCCCCAGATGTTGTCTTTAAAAGTCAGAACAGAAAACTGCAATGGAAACACCGAAAATACCAGTGATTATGGGCTGGAGCCCCAAATCTTTTAAACACCTAATAATGTCTATGAATGAACACGCATTTTTTTATTCAGGTGAGCTTTTAATAAATGTTAACTCGGAGTCTGTTTTGGACAGAGAGAGATTCAGGTAAGTTACGTATGTTTTTAATGTACCGTAATTCGATACCATACTTAATTCATAATGCTGCATTTATTATAATTTAATAGAATTAGATGTTTGATTTTCTGTTGGAGAGTTTTGACATTACTGGTTTAGGTATGATAGTATATGCATTAATTAAAATACAACATGTTGCCATTTTTAGTCATACGTTAAATAATTGAATTAATTCATAATGAAAATATTTATCTTTTAAAATTCTAGCTGTTGTTTACACTCTTCCACAGACTTGTAAAGCAGCATTCCAGTTTTGTGAATGTATTTTAAATTATTTTATATATATATTTTTTTTCTTAGCTAAGTTGTACTTTTACCAATGTATTTATTGTCTGTAGTTTTACATATTTTAAAGAGGCTTGATATTTGTAATAAAAGTGATGTTAGTCTGCAAATGCTTTTAATCTCAAAGGCATTCCTGTATATATATGTATATATTTAAACTGTTTTCTCTCTTTTCTGTAACTACAGGTGTTTT